TATTAATATTTTCGAATAAATTATTATATTATTAAATAACTGTTGTTAAAATATTTCATTTATGATTGAAATAAGCAAGTACAATATTTGCAATTCTCACTGTATTATGGAATGAGTCACTTATGCCATCTATCATGGTGTTTGTGTACTCGAACATTTTGACCCTCAAACATATTCATAAATCACTTAACCTCTAATCAAAATAAGCAATCTATGGAAGCTGTGTAACTAAATATTAATTCATCATGACATCAAGAATAATTTTACGTCAAAATATTTATTTAATGAGTGATGTCGACACTCAAAATTATTAGTAATAAATTGCCATCAAAATTGCAAGTGCTAAAAGTTTTTCTTTATAATATCCGTATTCTTAGATTGTAATTACGTGAAAGTGCTAAACTTTGTATTGACGAAGTTAAAGTATTTGGGCAAAAAGCTCAAATACCAACTAAAAGAAAAGATCATTGCATAGATCAGTTGTTAAAACTATATGAAAAATATAAGCTTCTTAAAATAAGTATAAAAAAAGACTCAAGTAAATTTAAGGTGGACGAATTTTAATCTTCATTGCTTCATTTATTCGACATTGCCCATGCAAATGCGGCACAAATGGTCAATGAAAATATAATGCATTCGTTGACTCAACAACGGCAAGACAGTAGAGTTGGCTACATAGGTATTATTGAGTCTGATGAATATGAACGAGTACAAAAAATGAAGGATAAACTACAACAGCTATGTCGTGAAAAATCGAAAAAAGAAAAAGCTCAATACGGTAAAATTCATGTTAAAGTAATTTATGAAGCTTAATGCATTCATTATAAATGATTGTATCTTAATTTCAATCACAAATTTTTATTTCTATGCCTTTTATGTTTACTGAATAGATGGCTTTCTGGAGTTAACATTAAGCAGCGAAGTGAAAGGAGTAGATTCATTAAGTCAAAAAACAATATCGTCTACTTCGAATTTTTCTGATGAACTTGCAATTACTCGGCACTAAGAATCAACACAATCTCGTGGGACGATAAATATCATAAATGATAAATTAGTAGCGGTATTTAATCACTGTAAAATAAGCAACCGCAACGCTGTACGTTGGATTATAGCTTTATGTTTATCATTAAACATTGACGTAAATCCACTGATAGTTAATAGATCATCAATTCGGCGAAGCAGAGAGAAAATACGTAAAGAGAAAGTCAAGCAAATTGAAGAACTTTTCAAACTGAAGATTTGAATGCGAGTGTCCTACATTGGGATGAAAAAATTTTAAAAACTTCTAGTGGAAATAAAAAAGAATGCCTACCAGTTGTATTACGTTGTGGACAAATTTAAAAAATACTAGCAATTTCAGTACTTGATGATGGCACAGGACAGCCCCAAGCTAATGCAATGTTTAATGCTGCTATCGATTGGGGTATTCCTAACTGTATCAAAGCTCTCTGTTGTGATACTACTGCTGCAAATCTAGGATCAAATAAAGAAGCTGCAGTCTTACTTGAACAGTTACTTGAAAAAAAATTACTCTATTTGCCCTGCAGGTATCACACACTTAAACTTATTCCAAACGATGTAATTAAACTCAAAATACCTACAACTTCAGGTCCTGATGTACCTTTGTTTAGAAGGTTTTGAGACAGTTGGACTGAAGTTGATACAAGTCAACTTTTTACTGGTATTAAAGACTCGTATGTGCAGAACAAAATACAAGATCACATTGAAGACATCAATTAATTTATCCAATAGCAACTTGATTCTGAGCAACCAAGAGAAGACTACAAAGAACTTTTGGAGCTTGTTCATATATTTATTGGTTAAGTTCAATGCAGTGAAGTAAAATTTCGTAAACCGGGTGCATTCCATCACGCTAGATAGATGTCAAAAGCCATATATACTATAGAAATTATTTTATTCCGTAAAAAATTTGAAATGACCATGAAATTAATCTAATCAGTTTCTAAAATTTGTATTTTTATTGCTACTGTGCATGTCAAAGCATGGTTTACTTGTCCTCTAGCATCTGAAGCTCCAAATAATGATTTATTATTTTTGAAAGAACTTATTGTTTATAAATTGACAGATGCTCAAATATCTGAAGTGGCGATAAAAAAATTAAGCAAGCATTTTTGGTATTTAAATAAAAAAACTGCAGCTATGGCATTTTTCGACGACAGAATACCATTGAACATTGTGAACCAGATGGTGATTATGTTAAACAGTATCGACTAAAGTTCTAAGAAATTGAAACGTTTTGAAATTAAAAACATTCGTGATGTATATAACTGGAGCATGGCTTAATTCATATCATCAAAATCATTCCAGTTTTTCAAAAGATTTGGAATAAATACAGATTTTTTAAATTCAAATTTATCGGAGTGGTATCGAAATAAAAGTTACTAGAAAGGTTTGCTATTGGTACGAAGTTTAAAAGTTGTCAATGATATTGCTAAGCGTGCAGTGAAACTAATTTAAAGAATACCATAGTATACTTAGCAAGGATCCAGAGCACTAGCAATTTATAGTTCAATTTTTATCAGAATATAAGCAATATTATGCTGATACTTAAAAATCTGCAATAGTGGAAAATATGAAAAAAGATTAAGGCTAAGTATCCGAGCGGGATCATATTTTATTTGTCCTTTTATTTTATTAAGTTAAAAATTAGAAAACTATTTGTTTTATTGATTTTAAAGTCACACATATCAATCACAATCCTTAAGAAATCCTTATGTTCGCTTATTCTCTATAAAAATATGTATGGCTTATAATTTCTAATTCATTTGTTCCCAAGTTATAAAATTATAAACAACGGAAGTAAATTTTCCTTTGTTATTTCCATAGGAAACTTAGACTAAAATGCGCACTATATTAGAGTTAATATTAACGGCTTAAATTTTCAGGAAATTGTAATTTTTTTATCAATTTGGAAGCACTTGAGCCCTTGGGAGCAAAAAAATTTGAAAATTACCTTATTAAGGACAGAACCGATGTATATAATTGAGAAATGTAGAAGTTAAAGGATATTATACGTCGTGTAAACATCGATAGAAATGAATTTTCGTCAATAATTTGAATGATATACCACATTTAAAATTTTTTTTTAACTATCTGACTTAGTCCTAATTTTTAAATTTTTCACAAAAAAATTCACTTTTTTCAACTAAGAAACAAGAATCAATTGGTTATTATTTGAAAAATTAAAAACAGATCATACTAAAATCAAGANTTCCATGTCAACTGAAACACTGCTCTAGACGTTTTTTTATAGTTATGAAAAAAACGGCTGAGGGCTTAAACTTTTCGTTTTTACAAGAGCTTACAAATGCCGCGTGGCAGATTACAAAATTTTAAAACGGCGACCCCAAAATGGCCGCTGTTTTTATTGAAATAGTAGAACAAACTATGCAATGTATCTGCA